GGCATAGCATCCAGGCGGGCACTGAACTCCTTGAACATGGACTTAACCAGGTCGATGCGCATCGGGGCCGTGAGTTGATCGGGATGGCTCTCCTTTAGTTCGCGCCATCGTTGTTGCATGTTGTACAACGACGGCACAACACTGGCCTTCATGTCCAGACGAAGGAACATCACCCAAGACAGCTCTGACTTGATGCAATTCCCAAAGTCCTCATGTCTCAAGGCCATCTTCTGAAGCGCAAACATCTCCTCCTTGAGCTTTTTGACCTCCTTTCGAAGAGTTTTGATCTCCGAGTTGTCCTGAAGATCATTGCCCCAACTGTTCCAATCTGGATCCTCCCAGCTTCCGCTGCTCCCCCATCGACCCTGCCACGGTTTTGCCCATAGCCGTTGCCCGCCTTGGACTGTCCGTAGCTGCTGCCCTTGCCAGGGGTGCCCTTGTTTGGGCCGAACCTCGCGGACTTGGCTGCCCTGGCTTCAGCTGCCTTATTGGCGTCTGCATCCTCCTCCGCCTCCACTTGTCGCACCTGATCAGACTGAGCAGCCTGCACACTCGGCCAGTACTTGTCGAAGAAGTGCGCTTCCATGCGCGGCTCCATCTCTTTATCCCCGTCCATTTTCCTTTCGGAGTTCGTGAAAATCTGTGCTATAGGAGGGGACTGGGCAGGTTGAGCCAGGCTAGCACAAAGGATGAGCGGATGCATGCATCCGCCCCTCTGATGTGTCATCTGATCTGTGCATGAAGACAAGATACACATTGCGATGATGACCGTCATGTAAATTAACACGCTCTGCTATCTTCCCGTCATCTGTAAGCCACCATGAGGGCCGGACTTTGAGTAGAGCTCTATAGTGCCCCGTGGTTGGAGTCCTGCCAAGGTGAATGACAGCGCCTGTGATTTCATACCTCTGCCATTGTACACTGGAGTCGTCCTGGAAAATCGGCAATTGCACATAAGAGGGCAAATCCACGATGCCAAAGCTCTTTCCCGGCATATGGTAACGTCCCAGCTGTACACAGAGCGTTTCTGCCGAAGTGGTTAAGGCGGTGACTTCGTCATCGCCCCGACTCCACCTGTTGATGAGCTCCTGCAGCAGAACAGCGCCTCTCGTGTATGGCATTGGGATGGGGATTGGCAGAGCTCCCTGCGTGCAAAGCCGGATCCCATCTGCAGTATTTTTCCGCGTGTCCCAGATGACCTGAACTGTGCTCATATTGTTAAATGCGACGTGCAAAAACTCCGCTGCATCTTTCTGTTCTGGGTTGAAGTCCCAGCCTGGCGCAATCTTCCGCATCCCGTTCATCCGCGGTAGATGTAGTTCAATGTTGCGCTCCGCAGCTTTGTGACCCACCTTGCGCAGGAATTCTAGCTCTTCGGGAAAAGTCGTCCTCCGACCAGCCACATGTAAAAGAGCTAGGATCCCCGCATTTGCGTAGCACATCGTATCGGGGTTCCTCAATCTGAGGCGCAAGAACCAGGGAACATGCTCCGCCGGTGGTGTACTCGGAGCTGAAAAGGGTTCCTGCCTTGGCTGAAAGAACTGCTTGATGGTGCCAACGTTGTTTCGAACCTGCTTCATGCCGGCAATGGTGCGTATGGGAAGAGGTGCATTTGAAGGCACCTGGTTCGGGGCTGTTGCCGTTGTTGTTGTTGTCGAGGTCCAAGTGACCTTAGTTTGACTGCGACTCCCTTTGTTCAAAGCCACCTCCATCGGTGAGACGAAGGCCTTGTACTTTGGGGCCGCCTCCGTTTTTCTGGGTGCCACCGGTTTGCTGTCCACGTCCTTTGACATCACGTCGCTCTGTTTGCACATGAATTGTAGCGAAAGCACCTGAAAGAGCATGGGACACTGCTTGGCGTGCTCCTTGCTGCTGCGAGCCTTGCTCCCACAGAACTCGCATGGACGATGCATAATGGCGCTAAGACTTTGTGCCTCTGATAGAACATGATGCCGTACTCTGCCCCAAATGGTTGCATGACTGCTCTGCCAATGTGCCTTCATTCTGGAAGCTTGTTTTAGTCTCTGATCACAAAGAAGGCATTTCGATGCATTTGCAATGAGTGCGCTGCTGTGCTGTACCACGCTGGTGACCGGGGTGTTCTCAATGATAGACCTGAGGTCCACCGCATCGGATGAGTGCTTTTCGTTCTTTGTGTCCCCGGCCGGTGGCTGGGGAGGATCGTTTGCCTCTTCCGCCTGAATCTCCTCGAGAAGCTGATCAATGCTCTGCCCCATACCAACCGCCAGTTTTACTCTAAGACACGTGCCTTGAGTGATGCGTTTGGTGAGTGATTGCCATGTCCCCAGACGCTTCCTGCAAAATCTACAAAAAGGCAATCCGAACAAACTGTGCTTCGCCCTGTTAAACTGTAGTTTGGAGGCCTGCTCAACGTCCGCGTGCATGCGATGCAGATGTTGATGCAAACCTTCCGCTGAGCCAAAATAGATACCACATACTGGACATGGTATCTGCACAATGGTGCCACTGTCTGCCTGGGTCAAGGACTGACCCGCGCTGTGCTGCTGCACCGTATGCAGTTGCTCCAATAATTGCTGCAGTCGTTGTTCCTCCAGCTGGCGGAGGGAAGCATACCTATTGGTGTCATTCAAGAGTGATCCCACCTGCGTGTCCAGTCGACGCTGCAGATGTTGGAGAGGCACCAGGTCCGCCTGCTGCAGGATGCCCGCGTTTGACCAGCCCTTCTCATGAATTCGCAAGAGTTTGCGTAGATGCATAGCCGCTGTGCTCTGTATGGTCCGCAACGCTGCATGATTGACTCCTACTGCGCTGATGCCGTACAGAAGCGAGGGCCAAACACATGTGACGTAAACCTTCTGACGCTGCGCCTTGCTGAGGACACCGTTGACACGCAGTACGTTCCGCAGCTGTCCGAAGCTTTGGTTGGCCTGGGCGCATCTGTGTTTCGCCGTAGCCAGCTCAAACTGGCCATAGCTCAGAACAACTCCCAGGTAGATCATGCTGCTGGCTACGGGTATACGAATGTCATTCCCCTCTGTTCTTATGGTCAGGCATCTTTCCCCGTTCCACATCTTGATGAATCGTGCTGTGCCTTGACCCCCTTCAGCGCAAGAACCGCCATGGACTTTTGGAAGTTCACCACCATACCTGAACGAGCGATGATGTCAATGATGTGATAGATATGCTCAACTGCTCGCTCGAAGTCACGACATGACTGTATGTCCCAGAAGCAGCGCTTGTCGTCTGCAAAAATGGACATA